ATTAGACTGAGATAAGGTCTTTCTGTACCTATTTTCTTCACGCTTTTTATCATGAATGGATGTTGGATTTTGTCAAAGGTTTGTCTGCATCTATTGAGATGATCGTGTGATTTTTGTCTGTGTTTCTGTTTATGTGATGAATTCTTTTATTGATTTGCATATATTGAACCATTCCTACATCCCTGGGATGAAGACTACTTGGTCGTGGTATATGATTTTTTTTTATAAATTGTTACATTCTGTTTGCCAGTATCTTGTTAAGAATTTTTGCATCTGTGCTCTGTAGAGAGATTGGCCTACAGTTTGGATTTTAGGTTCGATCCTCGTCTGGTTTTGAAATCAGGGTAATGCTAGCTTCCAAGGAATGATTTTGGGAGTACTCTTTCCCTTTCAATTTCATTAAAGAGTTTGAGGAGTATTAGTGTTCACTTTCTGTGAAGTTCTTATAGAATTGGGCAGTGACTCCTTCAGGCCCTGGGCTTTTCTTAATTGGTAGCTTTTTTATTACTGCTTCAATTTTATTTCCTTTTATTGTATTATTCAGGGTTTTTAAGTATTCTTGGTTCAGTTTTGGTAATTCATGTGTATCTAGGAATCTCATTCTTCTGAGTTCTCCACTTTTTTGGTGTAGAAGTTTGTGAACTAGTTGTTAAGAATCTTCTGGATTTCTGCAGTGCCTGTCGTGATTTCACCTTTTTGTTTGTTTCTAAATGAATTGATTTATGTCTTTTCTTTCCTTATTTTTTTTTGTAAGATAAATCAAGGTTTTATCTTTCAAACAACCAGCTTTTTGATTCATTGATTACTGCTATTGTTTTAGTCTCTGTTTCATTGATTTCTGTTGCTATCTTTACATTTTCTTTTTTTTGTATAAGCTCTAGATTTAGATTGTTGTTTTTCTAGGACCAGGAGATGCATCATTTGGCTATTTATTTGAGCTCATTCTGTTTTTGTGATGTGGGCATTCACAGCTATAAACTTCCCTCATTAGACTGCTTTCACTGGGTCTCATAAGTTCTGCTCTGCTGACCTGGTGTTATTTCATACTAGGAGCTGCATTATTTCTTCCTTAATTTCTTCTGTGACCCATTGATTACCCAAGAGTGTGCCATTAAGTTTCCATACCTTTGAATAACTTCTGGGATTTCTTTTGCCATTGATTTCTAAGTTCCCTATACTGTGATTCTTTTTTGTAAGATAAATCAAGGTTTTATCTTTCAAACAACCAGCTTTTTGATTCATTGATTACTGATATTGTTTTAGTCTCTGTTTCATTGATTTCTGTTTCGATCTTTACATTTTCTTTTTTTTGTATAAGCTCTAGATTTAGATTGTGTTTTTCTAGGACCAAGAGATGCATCATTTGGCTATTTATTCTCATTCTGTTTTTGTGATGTGGGCATTCACACCTATAAACTTCCCTCATTGGACTGCTTTCACTGGGTCTCATAAGTTCTGCTCTGCTGACCTGGTGTAATTTCATACTAAGAGCTGCATTATTTCTTCCTTAATTTCTTCTGTGACCCATTGATGACCCAAGAGTGTGCCATTAAGTTTCCATACCTTTGAATAACTTCTGGGACTTCTTTTGCCCTTGATTTCTAAGTTCCCTATACTGTGATTTGATAATATACGTGGTAAATTTTTTATTCTTTTGCCTTTATTAAGCATGACTTATTAGCTAGTCTGTGGTCTATTCTGGAGAAAGTTCCAGGTCTTGCTGAAAAGGACATGCTATTGTTGTTGGGTGAAACACTCTGTATACATCTACTAAATGCAAACACTGATATTTCTTGGTGGATCTCTTTGTGTAGTTGATCTGTCTATTTGTGATAGTCCCAAATAGAGGTCCCCTACTATAATTGCATTGACAGTCATCTGATCTTTTATGTCCACTAATGTTTTCTTTTGTTTTTTGTTTTTTGTTTTTTGTTGTTTTTTGTTTTTTGGGTTTTTTTTGCTTTTTTGGTACCGGGGGGTTGAACTTGGGTTCTTGCACTTGCAAGGCAGGCCACCGAACCACTGAGCTAAATCGCCAGCCCCTTCTAATGTTTTCTTTATGAAGTTGGGTGCACCATATTTTGGTATATGCATGTTTATAATTGCGATCTCTTCCTACTGAAGAGTTCCATTAACCAATATGTGGTGTCTTTCTTTGCCTTTTTTGATCAGCTTTGTTTAAAGTCTACATTGTCTGAAAATAAGTTAATTTACTCTGGCTGTCTTCAGGCTCTTGTTGCATGGAATGTTATTTTTCATCCTTTGTAGCAGACATTTCTGCCCAGTATTAGCAGGCTATAAGTGGCACAAGTGTCTTACCTCTCCATAATTCAGCTATACTACATTAGAAGTAGCAGGGGCAAAAAAAAAGTAGTAGGGTCTTGCTGAGTTCACTTTCAGCCCAGGTCAGCTTGACTCCAACTAAAGTCATCCCCCCTGAATTAACCATTTGTGCTCTTCAGCAAAGATATGCTGGTGCCCTCCTTTCGTAGTCCTGCCTACAACAATCACTATCAACAGGTCAATATGAAAAGAGAGAAAGAAAATAGAAAAAAGCAGCAATCCCATTTTATCGCTTTGCAGATAATTGTATTGCTGGTGTTAGTTTGGAGAAGTAAAATTGAAGTAGTATAAAACTCTATGAAGTTCCTAAGAAGGGTGAACAAATTAGACCAGGAAAGTCACTGAGAAGGCTGGGGTAGAACTCACTAGTGCAGCCCTGGCCTAGCCCTTCCCCAGCTCACACAACTGTACTTAAAAGTCATTCCTCCCGGCGTTGAATACAGATCTTCCTGCTCATCTAGACTATGAAATACTGAGTTTTACTTGACTCCAGTAAATATCAGAGAAGTTTTCCATGACTAGACTGTTGTATGACATTTATTAGGACTATCTTCTTTCACATATCTGGTCTCAACCATGCACTACTGTGTTCTTTGATTTATACCAAAAAGCCCATTCAAAGACTGAATTTAAAGTTTTAAGGAATCGTCATATCCATCCCACCAATTACCAAAATACAGTATTTCCTGTCTTAAAAGTCATTCCTCCCGGCGTTGAATACAGATCTTCCTGCTCATCTAGACTATGAAATACTGAGTTTTACTTGACTCCAGTAAATATCAGAGAAGTTTTCCACGACTAGACTGTTGTATGGCATTTATTAGGACTATCTTCTTTCACATATCTGGTCTCAACCATGCACTACTGTGTTCTTTGATTTATACCAAAAAGCCCAAAGACTGAATTTAAAGTTTGAAGGAATCGTCACATCCATCCCACCATTACCAAAATACAGAATTTCCTGTGTCCCACGGTCTGACGTGAACGGGTAGAAAAGAAGAGAGAAGCACTAGGAACCCACCGAGCAGCAGCGGCAGCTCTTATCCACGCCCTCGTCTTCCGAGTGGTTTCCCTTCCTCCCCCGGGTGCCAGCCAAGGAGCAGGAAGAGGGAAAGCGTACTTTCCTATGGCCTTGGGACACCACCAGGAACGGGAGCAATGAGCATCTCCCCCCAGAGTCCCGCTCAAAGTCAATGCCATGGGGTAGTAAAGGCCAGAGCTGAACAGCGCAGGGCGAGGTCATTGCTCGCAGGGAGCCCGGCCACTGGCAGGTGTGAAACGTGTCACTGAGCAGCGCTGCTCCTGATGTGCGCCCCCCGCCCCAGGTTTCCGGGCGCTGTACCAAGGAGAGCTCAGTTCTCCAGGAAAATGTCCTCATAGAACAGCCGGAGTGGGATCTGAGAGCTTTACTCTCTTGAATGTTACTCTCCTCTAATTTAGGATATACTCCTAAGTGCCCTGCTCCTCCCCCGGGTGCCAGCCAAGGAGCAGGAAGAGGGAAAGCGTACTTTCCTATGGCCTTGGGAACACCGCCAGGAACGGGAGCAATGAGTATCTCCCCCCAGAGTCCCACTCCAAGTCAATGCCATGGGGTAGTAAAGGCCAGAGCTGAACAGCGCAGGGCGAGGTCATTGCTCGCAGGGAGCCCGGCCACTGGCAGGTGTGAAACGTGTCACTGTACAGCGCTGCTCCTGATGTGCGCCCCCCGCCCCAGGTTTCCGGGCGCTGTACCGAGGAGAGCTCAGTTCTCCAGGAAAATGTCCTCATAGAACAACCGGAGTGGGATCTGAGAGCTTTACTCTCTTGAATGTTACTCTCCTCTAACTTAGGATATACTCCTAAGTGCCCTGCCCTCCTCCCCTCCCCACCTCACACCATCCCCGGGGCCAAGAGCAGGGCCCACAGGGGCAGGAGCGGCCAGCAAGATTGGGTACGTAGGAAGCGTTTATTGAGCATTTGGTAAATATCCATCAAATAGATATTACGTGTGTGACTTACTTATTTCACTTAGGAGTATATCCTCAATATGTATTTTAAAAGTGATTGAGTAAAAGTAGATCATCTTTTAATATCCCTTGCCAAATCTAGGATTCTGGGACAAACTCATGAATAAATAATCATCCAAAATTTAATTTTAATTAAAAATGAGCTGAACAGCGCAGGGCGAGGTCATTGCTCGCAGGGAGCCCGGCCACTGGCAGGTGTGAAACGTGTCACTGTACAGCGCTGCTCCTGATGTGCGCCCCCCGCCCCAGGTTTCCGGGCGCTGTACCGAGGAGAGCTCAGTTCTCCAGGAAAATGTCCTCATAGAACAACCGGAGTGGGATCTGAGAGCTTTACTCTCTTGAATGTTACTGCGCAGGGCGAGGTCATTGCTCGCAGGGAGCCCGGCCACTGGCAGGTGTGAAACGTGTCACTGTACAGCGCTGCTCCTGATGTGCGCCCCCCGCCCCAGGTTTCCGGGCGCTGTACCGAGGAGAGCTCAGTTCTCCAGGAAAATGTCCTCATAGAACAACCGGAGTGGGATCTGAGAGCTTTACTCTCTTGAATGTTACTCTCCTCTAACTTAGGATATACTCCTAAGTGCCCTGCCCTCCTCCCCTCCCCACCTCACACCATCCCCGGGGCCAAGAGCAGGGCCCACAGGGGCAGGAGCGGCCAGCAAGACTGGATAGTAGGAAGCGTTTATTGAGCACTTGGTAAATATCCATCGAATAGATACTGAATCAAGGGGTGACAAAAAGACCTACATGGGCTATCACCTATTTATCTTGGAAAGTAAAACAGAAAATGTGTGTGTGTGTGCACGCATGTGCAGATGAGTGTGTGCTTAATCTCTCTTAGAGCTGCTTCCTGTGCCTTTCAGAGCCTCGCTGTATTCATTTCCCACCATGGAATAGACGCTCACAACGTATTCAGCTCCAGGCTCCAGATCTTTTAACACTTTGCTGATTTTCAGTCGATTTACAGAAAACTAAGGGGAAAGAATAAAAACAACACCAATGCATGTTATGATCAGTTCGTTTTTCTATTATATTTAAAAAGTAGTTCACCGCTGTGACCTTAGAAACTAAATTCCAATGAGGCCATTGTCTTTCATTTTTTGGAAACTACTGGGCTACAGTGAGATTTGGATAATTCACATAAATGATTCACCCAGCTGTTGTTTTCTTTATTTTATTTTATTTAGTTTATTGGTCCATTTTAGGTATACAGTACAGTTACATTCATCATTGGAATCTTGTACCTTTACATGACAGGTCTTGGTTCTCATTTTTCCCCCTTGTCCCTGCCCTCCCTTCACCCCCTCCTCCCCTCCCCATTTACACTTTATTTCCATTTTTTCATTTTCTCATATTTTTTTCTTTTCCCTTATTACCTTTCCCCTACCCTTCCCACTTTCCCTATTGTGTGTGTGTGTGTGTACACATTTAATCTGACTTACAAGTTTTTTCTGTGCCCTTCAGGGGCTCACTATATTCATCTTCCACCACAGAATACACATTCACGACGTACTCAGTTTCTGGCTTCAGATCTTTCAGCACTGTGCTGGTTTCCAGTCGACTCACATAAAACTAGCAGGGGGACAAATAACAGTGATAAGTGGTACGATTAGTTCTCTTCTTCTATTATATTTACAAAGCAGTTAACTGCTCTGAGCTTAGAAATTATATTCCAGCAAGCCCATTGTGATTTGTTTTTGCCAACTACTACGTGTTGGACGGTTCACATAATTTACTCTTTTAGCTGTTGTTTTTCCTTACTTGTAGAATGAATGAGTAAAAGTAGATCATCTTTAATATCCCTTGGCAAATCTAGGATTCTAAGACAAACTCATGAATAAATCAGTATCCTAAAATCAATTTTAATTTTTAAAAACTCATACTGAGATCCAGCAATGCTTAGAAACTGTATGAACCTAAGCAAAGCTCTTCCCCTTTAATTGAGCCCAAATGCCTGTGCCCTGTTCCCTGCTCAATTCTGCCCTCCCTACAGCCCTCTTGCCCACAGCTCTAGTGAGGCGGACCCTGTCTCTGTGTACGGACAGGGTGGGCTGAGGTGCTGTCTACTCACTTCCTGGCGTTTCCCTCCTGAGACGGGGTAGTATTCCATCTTGTATCTGTCCACACTGTCAGAAGGAGGTGTCCAGCTCACTCTAAAAGAACGGTGAGTTCGCTCAGAAATAACCAAGTTAGAAGGCGCTTCCAAGTCACCTGCGTGTGGGGAAAAAAGCGCACGCACTCTTTCGTTACTGTAGCCAGGTAATGAAGTTCGAAATTACACTGAAACAGTGTCGATCTAGAATACCGCTGAACGCAGGTCCCGAGCTCGCACAGGCTGCCTTTCCCATAAGTAGAAAATGTATCTGTACAGAGGCCCGCCGCCCAGAGCGCCACTCTGCGTGAGCAAAGGGTCTTTAGCTTCAGGAGATTCGAACCTGAGCTCAGCACTGTTCCTTCATCTGGCTTCTCCTCTTCTCTGCGACACCACCAGTTAAATAGTCACCTATGCCCAAAACCTCCACGTCATCCTTGGACGTGTTCTCCTCACTCTGTCCTCATACGTAACCAGTACATACGGATTTGGGCCCTGAAAGTTCAGTGTCTGCATTGTCTCCATCACTGTTGAGTCACTGCCCCATTTTGGTTTCATGCACTCATGTCTTAGCTCCTTAGCTAAAAGGATCTGTGAGGATAAAATTGATTTCTTATTCGTATTTAGTTCTATTGCAGAGTTGATTTCTTATTACATGTTTATTTCCCTAGTTTAGTAACAAGAGAAATTAATTACTTTTCCCTCAAGAAAGGGTGAAAACAAACAAGTATTTTAAAATTTGGGAACACCCCACTGCCTGTGGTTGTGCTCTCTGTTGGTAAACAGAGTGACATGACAAAGATATAACAATATCTAGAATAAATATCGATGAAAATAGAAAAGCTAAATTCAATTTGATCAATAGGATCAAATTATTCCCAAATAATAATGTAAAGACAGAAGAATTCATCCAATGGTCATACGGATTTGGGCCCTGAAAGTTCAGTGTCTGCATTGTCTCCATCACTGTTGAGTCACTGCCCCATTTTGGTTTCATGCACTCATGTCTTAGCTCCTTAGCTAAAAGGATCTGTGAGGATAAAATTGATTTCTTATTCGTATTTAGTTCTATTGCAGAGTTGATTTCTTATTACATGTTTATTTCCCTAGTTTAGTAACAAGAGAAATTAATTACTTTTCCCTCAAGAAAGGGTGAAAACAAACAAGTATTTTAAAATTTGGGAACACCCCACTGCCTGTGGTTGTGCTCTCTGTTGGTAAACAGAGTGACATGACAAAGATATAACAATATCTAGAATACATATCGATGAAAATAGAAAAGCTAAATTCAATTTGATCAATAGGAAGATTCCCAAATAATAATGTAAAGACAGAAGAATTCATCCAATGACTCCATAAACATGGCAAATCAATTTCATAGAAATTCTTAAGTCAAAACCAGAGAGAACATTTCCAGCCTTACTGGCCTAACCTTTAATGTACTTAGATCACAGTCGAGCTTAAAAAAAATATCAAGCAATTTTACTGTGTGGGAAACCAGAATGAATGAAATCATTACGTAGTTGATTTTTAAAATAAAGGAAAACAGATGTTTTCATCCCAAATGAATAAAAACTACAACTCTCTCAGCTAATGTAGAGCCAGGAACCTATAGATTTTAACTGCCCAGCTAGTCTATTACTTCAGGGGAAAAGTCAGCCTATTGTTCAAAATCTAAAAGAGAAAACCTGCAAAAGTTTGGAGAGGGAAATTCAACAAGGAACAGTGTTTAAAAGGTATCATCAATTCCCAAACATATGAACCATTTCTACCACAATATATGTCAAATTTTCCAAACCAGAATAAATTAATGCAGGATAGTTTTTACCATAACCTGCATATTCTTAAAATGAATCATTTCTCATGTAATAAGAGCTATTATTTTTATCATTAATTTCCCAAAAACCTTTAATTTTGATGGTTGTATCCTACGACTTATTCAGATAATACATCTTCTCGTTCTTTGTCACTGTGAATCTAGTTCAATAATTTTATTTCTAAATCCTCACTCTTTAACTGCAGTTACTTTTTCCAAACACTTATAAAAACATCCTTCACTATTTGGACTGTGAAGAACTAATTTAACTCCTCCAAATCTCAGTATCTTCACTAATAAATATGGATTATATAATTTCTAAACATTGAAACTCTAAAATTATAACTTCTTTTTATATTCAGGGTTACAAGAAGAAAGTATCAAATCTGATCATATACAGTTTTGGCAAAGCAAATCAAATATGAGATCACTCTTCCAATCTTATTAAGAAATTTTTAAAAAGAATCATATTTTAGAGAACAAAGTCTGCCATAAGCCACCTGAGCAATGTGATCATTAGGATGGAGATGCTATATTAGAGCACAGATGTACATCAAAACAGGAAACATCTCTTTTTCTTCCTCTACCCCCTTTTATAAATGCACTGTGTGTGTGTGTGTGTGTGTGTGTGTGTGTGTATATCTTCAAATAAGCCAGAAGCCAATTTCTACAGCAGTGTCAATTCAAAAACCAAATCAGAAACACAATAAGACTAAAGCAGTGATTTCAACTGGGAAGAGAGTCTCCATCACACTCCCAGAAGGTTATTTGCCAACAATAAAGAGAAAATCTGCACAATTCCTCATTTAGTGACCAATTCAATGACCTCATTAATATTTTTTATACAGCCATACACCCAAAATACTCATTTCAAAATGAAGCAACGTTAAAAATGAGTTATTTACAGTCTTTTTTTCCCCATGTCAAGTTTTCAAAATCCAATATTTTACAGTTATAGCACATCTCAGTTTGAGCCAGCCCTTCTTCAAGTGTGGACAGTGAGACTCAGCCAGTGCCCGCCACACTGGACCCCACCATTCCACACGGCAAACACGTCAGCGTGCTTTCAGTACTCATCCTTTACTAAGGTAGTTTTTACAAAGAAAAAATATCACATTGAGACAGAACTAGACTGACATTAATCCATTAAGTGGAGGCCGCTAACGGTTATCCAAACTCTTGCTCCCTTCATTGACCCACTTCCAGAAGGTGCAAAACCCCATCTCTACCCTTGTTCTCAAATGGGTCCTCCTCTTCCCGCAAGAGCCACTGGCTACTTCAGGGTCTGACATCACCACTTTTCTCTGCTTCCCTGCAGATGCCAAGAAATGCAGAGGTCTTGCACCTGCTGGTGGTTTATTCCCACTCCTCACATTCTGGAGTTCATGGGGAATCTTGTCACCCAGTTATGCTACTGATGTTATCCAAGGGCTTTTGGTTGCTATTTTTATGAAGAGTCAAAATAGGGGCTGGAGATTTAGTTCAGTGGCACCAAGCCTGCCTTGCAAGCACAAGGTCCTGAGTTCAATCCCTGGTGCCAGAAAACAAAAAAAGTAAAAACAAACCCGAGAAATCAAAAACAAAGAAAATCCCAACACCCAAAAAATCACTAGTCATCACCATTTTCCCAGAATCTGACTTTACATAAGAATTTTTTGACATGTTTTTCTCCTTTATTGGTGTGTGTGTGTGTGTGTGTGTGTGTGTGTGTGTGTTTGGAGTCTTTTTTCCTATTTTGCTTAATTTATTCATTAATTTATCATTTATTTGTTTCTTTGTTTTGGTCTTTTTTTTTTCTCAGTCATTTAATTTGCCCCCCCCTTAGTTTACTATCAGGAGAAATTACAGAACAAATCAGTAAGGCATTTGGCAAGCTCACAAAATTTTAGTAAAAAAATTGAGTCAAATAAAATAACCAGCCATTCTAAAGAAAACACTAATAAAAAGCTAACAGAGCTAAACAAAATGATGCAAAACATGAATGACTAGCAAAGAAAAGGCTTGGAACCCACACCCAGGCCTGGTGGTGCACACCTATAATCCTAGCACTCAGGAGGCAGTAGCAGGAAGATCACTGCAAGTTCAAGGCAAGCCTGGACTACATAGTGAGATACTGTCTCAAAAAAAAAAAGATAAGAATTGGAGTGCATAAAAAGGCTCCAAATAGAAACTCAGGACATTAAATGTTCTATTAAAAGTACAGGTAGCAGAGGTAACCAATGTGAGGACAGTGACAGAACTAGAAGACAGAGCTGTTATCAGTGATCAATTAATAAGAGATACCTTAAAAATAGCAAGAGAACATGAAAAATGGATCAGACAGCTCCTAGAAGACACAAAGAAGACTAGTCTAAGATTGATAAGAATTAATGAAAAACCAAAAGATAGCATATATGACATAAAAAAGCTTGTTTACTAAAGGAATAGCACAAAATATTCCAAATAAAGAAAAATAAAAACCACATCTTCTTTATCCAGTCTCCAACTGATGGGCAAATGGGCCGTTTCCAAGTTTTAGCTATTACAGACTGTGTCACTGTAAACATAGGTGCACATATATCACTGTGATATGATTCTTCTAATTCTTTTGGAAAGATACCCAGCAGAGGGATGGCTGGGTCAAATGGAACATCTAATCCCAGCTCTTTGAGGTATCCCCATATTGATTTCCATAATGGTTGCACCAGTCTGCACTCCCACCAACAATGGAGAAGGGTTCCTTTCTCCCTACAACACCATCAACATTTGTTATTGTTTGATTTCTTGATAGCAGCCATTCTTTGTGGGTTGAGGTGTAATCTCAGTGTTGCTTTCATCTGCATCTCTCGAATGACCAGTGATGTGGAACATTTTTTCATATATTTACTTACTGCTTTTACTTCTTTGTCTGAGAAATGTCTGTTCATTTTGGATGCCCATTTTTGAATCGGGACTTTATATTTGCAGGGGTTGATTATTTTGAGTTCTTTATATATTTTAGATAATAGTCCTTTGTCTGAGGAGCAGTTGATAAAAACTTTTTCCCACATTGTAGGTGTCTTTTAATTCTGTTGATGGTTTCTTTTGCAGTGAAGAAGCTTTTTAATAAGTTGGAGACTGGATAAAGAAGATGTGGTTTTTCTATAAAATGGAATACTACTCAGCCATGAAGAATGAGAAATTAGAGTCATTCATAGGAAAATGGATACATATTGAGGATATACTCCTAAATTAATAAGTCACATGTGTATAAATTAATAAGTCACATGTGTATAAATACCAAACAGATTCTCTGGTATGAAAAACTATAATGGTGCATAAGATCCTAATGATATAATTGACAATGAGAAACAGGAAGAAAAGGGCTAAAGGTGTAGGGGAAGTGGGAAGGTTAGGGGAAAGGTAATAATAAAAAAGAAAAATAACATGAAAAAATGGAAATAAAGTACTTGTAAATAGGGGAGGGAAGAGGGGGTGAAGGGAGGGCAGGGACAAGGGGAAAAAATGAGAACCAAGACCTGTCATGTAAAGGTACAAGATCCCAATGATGAATGTAACTGTACTGTATACCTAAAATATACCAATAAACTCAATGAGGGAAAAAAAAAGAAAAGAAAAAATTTATGCAAATATGTGAGGCATATAGAAGTTTAAATAGCCATGATTATAAAAGAACCTCTCCACAACACATAATCAAAGTCCAGGAAGTCAAACACAGGAATAGAACTTTAAAAGTGGTTAGAGAAAAGCAAAGAAACACTTACAAGGGTAAACCCATTTGAATTACAGCAGTTTTCTCAATACAAATTTAAAGGCAAGGATAGTCTGGAGTGAAGTGTTTCAAGCTCTAAGAGAAAACAATTTCCAATGCAGGCTGATATGTCCTGCAAAACTATCTTTCAAAATTGATGGAGAAATCATACAGTCATGATAAATAGTGCCTAAAGGAACTCATGACCATAAAACCAGGAATCAAAAGAATTCTGAAAGAAAATCTAGAAGGAGACAATAAAGCTAATAATGACAAAAGGTGTAATAGAATGAATACACCAGGAGGGTGGGCAGTTAAGTGAAAGGCAAATATAGGGAATTAGGAACAGGAAAATAAGGCAATGATAGGAGTAAGTCAATACCTATTAGTAATAACTCTCAATATGCATGGTCTCAACTTACCAATCAAAGACACAGACTGGAACAATGGATCAAGAAACAAATCCAACAGTACAAGGTATATAAGAAACACATTTAACCCAAAAAGAAACTCGGACTAAATATCAAAGGATGGAAAACAATATTCCATGCAACAAGAACCTGAAAAATAAAGCAAATGTATACTCAAACAAAATGTATATCAAGCCAAAACTAATCGAAACAGGCAAAGGTCTCTCTCTCTACATATTTGTCAAGGGAACAATCCATAGGAAGAAATAACAATTATCAACATATATGCACCAAACAATGGTACACCCAACTTTATAAAACAAATACTACTCAACATAAAAGACCATAAAAACATAAACACAATCGTAGTGGAAGGTGGTGATAAACATCTTACAACATGCAAAACAGTTCCCCTCCACATCCCAAAATTAATTATGTGTTCCCAAAACACCAACAGTGCTGAAGAAACTCTAGGCTAGGCTCACCTGGACCCTTGACGCTGTTACACAAGTTACTGGTGAGGTCGTCCACAACAGTAGAGAGCGACTCAGAATCAGCCACGTTGTATGTGTGGGTAACATCAGGATCCGTGGTGATCGTCTTCAATTCACCTTCATCAGCGTTCTTAATACCTTGAAAAATGGATACATAAAAACTAAAAACATTCTCAGAAACAGCTAATGCACTAAAGAAAATATATAAGTGTTTTCTTTATTAATGGCTACTTTAGGCAAGCTGAAGGTTTAATAACTTGTTAACTGGGCCTTCTATTTTATTCTCCTTAGGAATGAAATGATTACTCATCAGTAGTTATAAAACAGAAACAAAGTCTCAAGGAAATTCTAAATTCTAAGTACTTCTAGCACCAATGTTCCACCAAAGAATATCTTTTCAGTGTTTTTTTTTTTTCCTGGAATGTAAAGATAACAGTTATCAAAAAGAAACAAGAATGTGTACAAAACCCAACAGGGATTTCCGTGAATCCTATCAATAGTATGTTTCTTCTTAATCCATCACTTTTCCTTTTAAAAAAAAATACAATAAAAACATGCAGCTGTGTCTCTTTGGTAGGGGGAAGTGAACTGATTCTCTGGAGCATCATTTTGATAAATTACATCTCAGAGAAGATAGTTTGTTGGTTTTCCCCTGCCTTCAGCAATATCTACGCGGATATCCTCATCCCTCTGCGCCCCAGGGCACCGCGGTCCTCCGCGCTTACCAATAGCAAACAGCTCCACGCCCTGGTCCTTGAGTTTCTTGGACGGCGCCTCGAAGTCGTCCTGGGATTTCCCGTCAGTAATGAGGACACCAATTTTTCGAGCACGAGGCCGCATGCCAGCCTGGGTCTTGAAGTTCTGCTGGCGAATGAAATTCAAAGCCAAACCTAGTGGGAATGTTAACAGAGAGTCAGTCTAACGCCTCCTGGGCTGGGTGGCTGAAGGCGGAAGGTTCAGTGGAGCTCACAGCCCCGGGGCGCCGGCTCACCGGTGAGAGTGTTGCCCCCTTTGTAGGGTAAGTTTGCCACCGCTTGCAACAGGCTCTTCTTGTCTCTGTGAGCGTTTAACTGCCACTCTGTCCTGGGGTCTCCGCTGTACTGAGAGAGGCCTAAAAGACACCATCCGCACCAGGGTGTGTGGAAAAGCACCACGAAGATGTCCCGACCTCTTCAATCTGGGGAGGACTTACCAATTTGCACTCTTTTGGGGCCAATCTCAAAAACTTCCACAATACGAGAAATGAAACTCCTCACAGTCCTGAAATTCGCCCGGCCGATGCTCCACGACCCGTCCACCAACAGCACGATGTCGGTTTCGGCTCTGGTGAGGCACTCCATCCCTGTCCCGGCAACCCAGACAGGGCGTGAGGAGCGGGCTGCAGGCAGGTCAGGTCGCTCCCCGTCCTGGCCGCTGCCTCCCCCAGCCCCCCAGCCTGCGTCTGCAGCTGACTCAACGACTCACAGCGCCAGACTTTAAAATCTGTCCATGTGATCTATCACCCTCAAGCATATTCATAAAACTCAGTTCCCCCAGAGAGCAGTTCAGTAGCAAATCTTTCCTTCACCACTGACTGTATTTCCTAGCTACTGGCCTAGAACCTGGGGCTGGAGTTAGACCATCACTGCCTGTGTGAAAGGCTCACGCACACAAAAGCTTGGCTACATGACAATGCACGACTATTTAACAATGAGTATTAATACTTTTAATAAAACTTTAATGCAATCTAAAGATAAGAGGTTGTATTTTTCTATAATATGTGATATTATCAGGCAAGTGGACTAATAAAACGCGTAAGCTTGAAAAGTTTTGATGAGCCAAAAATATCTTAAAATGATTAAGCTCCCAGGTAACTATTATATATATTATGAAGGATTAGATACAACTCTTAAAATAAATCTTAATAATTAAAGATACATTTTTAAAACTTGATGCACTGTTATTTAGTTGTTATTGAACTTTATCATCCACTATGTATAAAAATATCAGATAAATACAGATGATGAAATTTGCACACGTAAAGGATCAAGGAAGAAGGAAAACAATTTAGGAAAGTAGCAAACAAATAAATCGAGAGCTGTGGAGACAAGCACAGACACGATACAGAGCGAGGGTGCTTTGGAGAGAGAAAAACAATCCCAATATCCTCAGTGTACAAGCTACAAAATAAAAATACAAATGGTTAATATCACCATAAGAGAAACAATCAAACATCGGTTCAAGACAGCATAATTTGACACTTTGATTTATTTTATCCACATACAACTTTTTAAATGTTCTTTCTTCTATGAGCTTGAGTGACCAGCTATGAATTTCCAGTTCTTTGCACTGTCACATCTGATATGAAAAACCTGCTGAGAAGCTAAGCAGTGCTCATCACGCTGCCTAGTGCAAGTGCCCGCTCGTGTGTCACACATGTTGGGGCAGAGCGCGCCCAGGCGCTGCCCCGAGACCTCGAGGCCTCCTCAGGCAGCTCCTGCACTGCTCAGTCTGCTGGTTCAGTGCACGACGGACACAGAAGCAAGCTCTTCCCACCCCTGCCACCTCTAAGGGTGTTAAAAACTAGCTGTGTTTGCACCACGCCTATCATCACACAGGGCAGGAAACCTAACAGCCCCGTGTTACCAGGTCGCTTCCCACTGCTCCTGTAACCTGACTCTGAGGTCCCAGCCCAGATGAGCCACTGAAGCAAACACACATAACTCCCTTCACAGAAGAAAACTGCAGCCTGGTCACTGCCTAGAAGAAATGTGTCAGAGATGTGTAGGGATTGTAACCTACATTTAGTAAAAGCTCTTCTTTAGATAACGTATACTATGTAACTAGTGCAGTACTGAAAAGCCTTAAAATTTTATCAAAAGTACAGTTGACTATCTTTTTTTCAAACATCAGAATAAGTAAATTACTTATAATCAAATAAATTTTAGTGGAAAAAAATGTATACCTACTTCTCATTGTATAATGACCTAATAGTTCATATTGAAATAGTTTCATAATGCTAAGTTCTCCCCAGAGAATGTGGCTCAGCTTCTTACCCGAGGATAAAATTGTCATTACTGTTGTGTCAGAAAGGGTTGTCATTTCTCTCCAGAGGTGAACTCCATTGCAAACACTCACCTTGATAATCAAACTTTCACCGAGAGGAACTTACAATGTGCAGCATTGTAAGAGAAGAAAAATAATTCCCCCTCCTTATAGCGTATGTTTACTGTGAGGACCGAGGTAAAGCAGCCTCCGAGCACCCTGAGCGCTCTGCTCCGGACGCACAGCCGCTCGCAGTCTCGCCTTCATACCATCGGCAGAGCCCCTGCCGCACGCCTGCGTGTCCCAGAAGGGTCAGGAACTTGGCACAACCGAAGGGCTGGAGTGTAGACCCAGGACAGAGCCCTGGCCTGGCACTCAGGAGGCCCTGGTTCCACCCCACCCACGCCACAGTAAAAGAAAATGATGGAAATGTTGTGCTTGACAAGGTGACGTAAGGGGCCGTGCACAGTGCCTGGCAAGTAGCAAGGCCAGTGCGGCTCACCTCCCACTCTAGGAAAGTAAAGCGGAGAGTTTCTGCAGATTTCATTATCAGGGGGCGCTAGGTGAGCACACTTCCCAGGAGGCCGTGCTCAGTGGTGCGGCTGCCTGCCTCACAGTGCAAGGTTTAATCCCTGGTATCAAGTATAATCTCTCTCTCTCTTTCTCTCTCTCTCTCTCTCTCTCTTTATATATAAT